CCTCTCAAAAATATATAAGATTAATAAATTTTATCATATATTTTCTTATTGTTATTGTGTTATTACTTACGGGATAGTCTTTTATCCATATATCTGAAAATAATACAGAAGCGTCAGTACAAAAATATAATACCTCAAACATAACAAGCATAATAAATTAAACAACACCAATGACGAGAGATCGATATTTTGAAAAATATTCTTTATATTTACTTCTTAAGTTCTGGTGGATGTGCTTTACTCATTTTCGGAATTGAACTTCTTTATGATTATTTAAACACACTGATATAAACTCAACACGACGGACAAGAGTCCAATATACTAATGAAAATGCGGGAACTGGGAACGCTTTTTCTCGCGCATGCGCGACGGAGCAATTACGCATTTGACACGTAATGCCACTTTGCCAAATGAAAAATCTTTTTATTTTGAATATATAAAAAAATATGATTAAAAATTATTTCAGTAATCTCTTCTCTTTTTTACATTAATTATATTGTTTTGTATTAATTAGACTGCTGATGATATCTGATGAAGCTTTCAAAACAATGAGTCTTAAATCTACAATTTCAGTTAATTTCATGATTCTTAAATATTTAATTATAATTATTTGGATGACTCATAAATCTTTTTAATGACACTCCATAACTCTTCATACGAAATACAAATGATTCCATATAAGAACTTTTAATTTAATTTACGTTTAATTTACGTTTAATTTACGTCCAGCTAATTATTTCAGCCAAATACAATTTATATAAAAAAAATATTTTGATGAAATGAAATAATAAAAAATAATATTACGCAAGACGGCATTTGTAAAATAATAAACTTCCCTAAATTAATGTTATATTATTTAATTAAAAATAAATAGAATAAAATGCATAGTTTATTAATTTAGTGTAAACAAAGATACAAGAAATGCCATAATTACAAAAAATTGTGCGATACGTTTATACGGGCTTTAATTACACTAACAGAAGTAAAATTTGGAGCATAAGAGAAGAATGACAGAAGCATGAACAAATCTTATAAGAAACGTAAATTGAAACGCGTAAAAGAAGCGTTTTAATTGTTTCAATGTTTCAATTTATGCTTCTTAGAAGATTCGTTCACGTTTTCATTAATCTTCTCTTATGCTACATTTACACTCTGGATCTTTATCGTTATTTTTTTTTCGTCAAGATTGGAATTGAAGATATATGGAGATATATCGAAAAACACGGGAAATAATATTTCCATATGAGTTATGGGATCATAACTTTATTTCCTTTCCTACAACATTGGTACAACATGAAATGAGCGTGTCGCTCGATTTTTCGAGATAATTGTCGACGAAATGTCTTCGCGTTTTTTCGCGCGTTGCGATTTCTTAATCCTGATCGCCGACGTACGGAGCACGCATGACACGTGTGCGATCTCGTTATGTCAGAGATATACATCCGTTGTCGTATTGCTCCGTGGAGATGCGAGACGTCACCGGTATAAAATACAAGTACACAAGTATTTATAAAAGTACAACATCAACTTCACCTCTCAACCGCAAAAAACCGATACTCCCCCTCCGTACGTCTCAGAAATGTTCGCCACGCAGATATTTCGCGATAATTAATGAATTCAACAATTTCCTTCCCTCAGTCAATGATGGAGACTAAAAGAACATTCAAGAGAAGGCTGACACTAAGATTGAGCTCAGAAGAATTTGAAAGAAGGATTCCTCTTGGATTAACGATGAACGGATTTCATGTGCGATACAAAGAGAATTACGCTATACGAAAAAAACGAGTCGCGTCTTTTAAGTTTTTTTGTTTTTTTTTTTTTATAACGGGTGCCTCGATATTAAAAGCGTTCCGCCACGTTACACTCGGACAGAAGTAAATTTCTCCTCGATGTCGTAAAAAGTTCGTGACATTTAAATATTCCGAAAAGTGTGTGAAACTAGGAAGATCTTCGTGGCGTTTCTTAATTGCTTCTCTGGTTTATATATTTATATCACGGTGGTGACATTTATGACTATATAATATTTTATCGAGACATCATTATGCGTATCCAACAACGTATACGTCAAAGTTCAACAACGTACATCGTGAAAGCGATGAAGGAAATGAAGGCTTCGCAATCTCCATCGCGCAATAAGTCGCTAAATAGTGTTGTTCGTCTCTCTGTCTTTCATTTATGTTAAGTCTCATTAAACGGAAGGCTGAGAAACGGACAAGGCGCGCTTGGCGAACAAGACATTCGCTAAATCGACTTGGCTGGTCAAAAGTGCGACTCAACTCACGATCGAAAATAATTCCGAAAGAATGTGGACGTAGAATGGTTACGTAGAAGCACTATTACGGCTCGATTAACGACACAAAGGAAGATCTTGCCTATCGATTTTCTACATAGGCGAGGCGCGAAAGAGCCCCGCGAGTCTACAATACAAAGATACTAGCACATCGATCTGAATTAATCGCTAATTTCCGTGGAGTGCCATGATAAGTATCTCAATACACGCACTTTGAGAAACGACATATCAAGAGCTATGTAACAACGTCTATTAAATTGTCGATGGAGGTGCGATTGGATCCAGCATCCAAGACATTCTTCGCCAGCAATCTCTGGTCTGCTCTCGCAAAACGTTCACATCCTCGCCTTTTTCCTCGTCTCTCCTTTCGCGTCGGAGGAAAGGAAGAGACGAGCAATCGTTTAGACTTCGGCTAATCTTTAACCAACGTTCGAAAACGTAAAACGGATTTAAATACGTGATGCGTGAACCCTTCTAAGGATTTTCAAAAACTCCAATTTACGCAACTCAAAGGTCTTGCGGGGGTGAGGAATTTTACATTCATATTAAACGTGCAAAATTCTAAGATGGAACGGATTGGCACAGCGAGTCGCGAACGAGCGACTCGCGAAATTCTTTTATCGTATATCTGAGATATTTTCACTCGTTATAATTTTCGCTTAATTACTAGTAAGTTTCTCGGTCACCTGTGTCTTGTACTCTCTAAGTGGATATCGGCTTATCTTCTGTACATAAATATATAAAGAACGTACTCCGATACGTTCGCACGAAGAGGTACATTTGATGGAAGTAATCTCTTTTTCCCAAGAAATATCAAGTCCGCTTTAATGATCTCGTATAAAGCGTGATACTTTTTGGAAAATTATTGCTATTGATATTTATGAATAATTTATCCTTCAATAGTCCATGTTTCCTTAATCCTTCGATTATTTTTTTTTTTTTCATGAATCGACTTTTTCCAGACAAGATCCCTATCATCCCTGTGTATGTTAACAACAAACGATGTATACCTTAATTTACACGATTAAAAAATTAAGTATAACGCGCGCGCGAGAAGTAATCTTAGAGATAATTAGGTTGTACTCGAGACGCATGTCCATTGCGGTAATAAGTACAATAATGAATTTAACAGCGTAGCGCAACAAGAACAACCGATGAGGTATATTAAAGATCTAGAGACCTACATCGCAAACGAACAACCACATTACACTTATAATACACGGCGTCACTACACGTTTTGCATCTTGTAGAAGTATCCATCGAGAAGAGGGGCAGCATGATGCGCCGATATAATAAATATATGAAATTTTTGGTCGTAAATAAACGCGCGAAAGGCAGTGAGAGGGACTTTCGCGGCGCGTCCAAAAATAATATCTTTGGCAAAAGTAAGGAAGCTTTCGTGTTCTGATTGGACTCGAATAACAACGAGATACCGTAGCGGTGTGAAACTTGACATCTATAAAGTGCGATTTGTCAAATTGCGCAAATATCTTCTTTGACGATTCAGAAAGAAACGAAAGACGTTTAAAAGAGGTCTAAAAACAGAGATGTGCGAATTAAGAATTTTTCGATGAATCGAATCAAATCAAATCTCATTTTTTTCGAGTCGAATTGAATCGAATTATTCACTAACATAATTTTTAATTAATAACATATTTATTCTATTTAAATTATGTATTATGAAACAGAATCCTTACTTTACTTAAAAAAATAGTCAAATTTTTATTTTAAGAGAAATATAATTTATAAAATTATTAATTAATATATGTGCTTAAATTTTCTAAATTTAAAATTTTCGTAGTTTAAGTTCAAATTATAAAGATTCAAATCTCATCTGATTTTTTATTTGATTCGTATTCAAATAGTTCACATATCTTTACTGAAGATTCACCAAGCTTGGACATCTTTTAAACATCTTTACTTTTTTTTTTAAACGTGTTTAGAATTTTAAACAATATAATTGCATTACGTAGTGTTAAGGACACGTAGATTGTAGCTTCAAACATGACGTTTGACTCGTGCTCTCGCTTCGTGCAAATTCCTTTGCCGATTACGCTAGTGGAATGTAATTATAGTATTCGGATTTTGTAATAGTGGTCAGTGGATCGGATTAATATACTGTCGCGGCAAAAAACGTGCCGAATGCCTCACAATTCATTATCATTCATTCACTTTACTTATATCCATTTCTAGCTGATGTAAATTAAAAAGATAAAAAGTTAAATCAAAATTAAAGCTAATTTACATTGATAGAAATGGAAAGAGTAATACTCATTTATTAACGACAGATGTTGTATTTAACCCTTTCGATACCATAGTTTACGTATTATATATTATAAAACGAATAAAAAAAAAGTTTCTCTTTTTGCAAATTGCTGAACTGTGTTACAAAATTTTTTATATTGTAGTCACTGAATCGCAATATAAAAGAAATATATTAAATTTTCTTTCTGATGGAATACCGATAGAAAAATTTTATTTTTCTCACGCATTATTTCCCCATTATATAAAAAATATATTCATTACATTTTACTCTTTTGAAAGCGGATATTGAAAGGGTTAGACAGTTCAAGTGTTTAAATCTCTAGACAGTTTCAAGTGATTAAATCTCGATCTTATTACACGAGGTGCTTGATGTTACTGCCGTCGCTTGGAGAGATTATCAAACCATCGTTTCTCGAAAGATCTTCACCGACGAGTCCGCATGCTTAGTATGCACATATCTCGTTATCGTCCTCACGGCATTGTTGTTATTGTTGTTAATACCGTTGAGCAGTTCGCCACTCCTCAGCCCGGATTTCGCCTCGGTCTGCATTTCCCTCGCTGTTTCTGCAGCCAGGAACGACAAATATCCTTCTAAGCGACAACTGTTACCATGCATTGCCATAAAGAAATTAAATTGACATCAAGATCTGAGGCTTCACGATGCTACTCGACAGAGTCAATCTCCAGGGTAACACGGAATAATTTCTACGTTTGTTGAATTTGTTAGAACATCAACATGTTAATCTACGAATTTTTCTTACTGTCGAGGGCCAATAAAAATTATTCCGAAGTTGTATCTCGTGTATTTTCAGGAAGATAATCTTTACTGTCATCTCGTGTACTTGCATTTATGATGAATACACACAAAACGACAATAAAAATTATATTATTAAAACTACACACAAATATATAGTATATTTGTATATTTCTCGTGATATGCAGTGAATAACTAAGATTAGACACCAAGTGTGCGAATAGTGGTCGAGTATGCGAGAAACCTTCATCCAAGCGGGCCATCAAAGACACGTGTGTTTGTATTTCGTGAGCTTCTCGTATACCTCGAATGTATGTGTGTTAGGATAGGTGGTTAATGACACTGCACTCGAGACGCAGCAGCGCAGATCATAGAAACAAGCGCATCTATTCTGTATCAACGAGATGCTTACCGTATCTCTTTCTTCGAACGACCGCGTCACGACCCGCCGCAACATCGGCAAATTGTGAATTGCGATTACGTATTACGTATTGAAAGATCGTAAGATCGTAACATAGCTCTGCGGCGATAAAAGAAATGTAAGCGGTAATTACTGAGAGATAAAGAATAAGCAGGGACTATACTGCTGAATACTCTAAAAAGCGCCAAGGCGTATAAATAGATCGGATTTTTGTACAGAATTGTTATCAATCAGTCTTTATAGCATAAACGACATACCGAGAAAATGTCGGAAAGTCTGGATGTAATGTAAGAGAGGAAAGCAAAATAATATATTATCTGTGCCTCCAAATTTTTTTCCCCCCGTCGCGGATCTGCCGTACTGCGCCCCACGATTAAGAATTGCGGCTGCAGCGGTTATTGAAAGTGCGGCGCACAACGAGTGCGGAGCGGAAAATTAAATGAAAATATACACACGCTGTGTGAAGCAATAATCGATAAATACCCGAGATAAAAGGGAAGTGCAGTAAAATCGCCATTCAACAGCAATAGCACACTTATAGCCGCTCGTGACATACAAGACAAATGTTAGCGAGCCTTTCCAGCTATTTCTAATCTAATCTAAACGCAATCTAAGCAGAAGTTTGTCTTATATCTTGAAAGAATTTTTTTCGCGAATAACCCGATTATTATATTTTATTATATTTCCAATAAATTGATAGATAATTTATAATCTAGATATGTTGTCTGCTGCATGTGTGTAGCAATATCCGAATCGAGTTTTCTATAAACTATTTTGGATATTCTGTATAAAATTTTATACGGAATGAATGATTGGAAAAGAATCGAGATTACAAATTGCAAATTGCGTTATTCGGTTTCTTTTTCAAAGCCTCGAGTATCTTTCTCATTGCAGCTTCTTTTTTCTTCGCGATCGTCGTGCGCGCAAAGAGAAGGAAGCACAGCTCTTCATCAACTTAGAGTTATCGCCTAATCACGTTTATACCATAGGAAGAAATTGAAACTGAAGGAAACAAATAAAGAAAGCAGCGTTCACGTGTATGAAAAATAAATTTATATTTACAAAATTGGGCAAATATACGCATAGGGTGTTGTCAACGAATTATTTACACTCCGCAAACAAGGGGAACTCTCGCGATACATTCTAATCAGCCTATGCGGTAGAAAATAAACAAAATTGCAGTACAACAGTGTCGGAATCTGAGCTCGGCTTCGTCGGCTTGCAGATTCGTCGTTTTAAAACTAGTATGGCAAATCGGAAACGACTGACATGATGCTCGGGCAATTGTCGTTGCAAACGTGCACGCAGATCCCCCGAGCAGATTCGCCTCGGGATCGTTTCGGCGTACGGGAGAGGTATAACGTTAAGTAACAATTGTCACATTACTCCATGTCTTGCCTCGTGGCAAGAAAATTCGAGCGAAGATCGCGAATGTAATCAGATATCATTGTTATCGATCTATCGCCGAACCACCCGTCATCGCATTGTTCTTTCTGTTTTCGTCCGCGATACGCTCGACAATACATCCTCCATGCTTTTCGTCATTCTATTAAAAAGAGAATCTCAGATTGTAGCACCGACAATTGCAAACTGAGGTACATGGAGTAATGCACGCTAAAATCACAAGTAAGCTCGAACTTCCGTCTGACGGGGAACCTTCAAGGAATCCTCTTTACGTCTGTTCCGGTTCGCGCGACGCGTCTAATTTTCCGTAATTAAAAACTTCGTTACGATGGCATATTCATCCGCACATAAACGCCGGATATTCGTATCTAACGATCTCCTGAAATTTTTCCCCGGATGATCAATGACGTGGCAACGTAATGATAAAAAGAATAAAAAAAAACCGAACGAAGCAAATCCTCCGTCATTGTCGCTTTCACAAGGCCGACATCCCAATCTCCGTCACAGAAAAATTATCTTCTCGCTTAACGAGCTACAACGAATTTTGCTTTGGCAGTAAAGTCCACTTAGTCCACACGCTCGTAAAGAAAATCTAGACAGATATCCTTTTGGCAAGAGCGCGGTACGTATGACGGCGACAATACGTTAGCGTGTAACGCTACTAAAAAAAAAAAAAAAAGAAAAAAAAAAAAAAAAAAAGTAAAAAGACATACTAGTTTTGCAATATCACCGTAAGTCCTTCCTCATACCATCGTGGAACGAAAGTGACACGTACGCGAAATATTAGAACGACACAGACGATACGGCAATACTATTCAATTACAAGATGAGATATAGCTTATGATCACACAATAAATAAAATCTTCCATATATATGTATACATGTAACCTAAATAAATCTAAGATCGAATATCATAATAATCATATATATGTAGTATGTAAAAGGATATAATAATCAAGGACAAGAACACTGCGAGGTAATAATTTCCTTGAAAACGAGTACCTTATTGGGCACATGGATTTTATGTAAAAATAGGATAACATAGCATTGCTCGCAAAAGGTGCCTCATATACTGGTAACGATTTCATCAGTCGTACGTATTGCTCGACACTGTATAGCGGTATATTACTACTTTTAACCACCCGCTCTAATTAATGTAACATTACGTAACGTTATTATACTGGTTATAAATTGTACGACTATAACGGAGGAAACAATTTTGTATATATCACTCGGGTATTCTCTAAGAAATATGCGTGGAACATCACATTTACAGTACCATGCACATGCAGAACATCGTTTCACATCGAAATGTTTCACGTAGCATGCACAAACTCGAGTGCAAAATTCATATTTCACGACACAAGAGAGAAACCGTTACTGACTAAAATTATCCCTCTGTCTTAGGTCATTTAAATGATAATAAATATACAAAATGTCTTTTCGCGATATGCGGTTCCTTCAATGATCATTCAATGATCTATAAATCGATATGTTTAAGGAATCTAATGTATTCGCGATTAATTAGGCACACCGTCAAAAATAATATACACACCATGTGAAAATAAATTATAGTTTTACACTAAGCGATGACTATAAATGCTCTATCTCGATCAGTATATAGCACATCGAGAAAATAGCACAAGGACGAGGAAATAAAGTTTATAAAAGAAATACTCTATGTAAGTAGAAAGAAAGGTTACCCATCGCTACGATGGCGATTGGTGCATCCGTGACAAATCAAGAACGGAGAAGTTCCGCTCGCACAAATAGTCAAATTTGCGCGATACTTTCTGTTAGAAAAAATAATCGATATTTTCTCTGTTCTTGATTCGGCATGGATATAACGTTACGATAAATAAACGAGGAACATTATACACAAATTTTAAAATGCAGATTAAAGCAAATCCTCAGGATACTACACAGCAACACTTTCTACATCTAGTCCGTCTTTCTATAATGTTGCTTTTATATCGTTCAGTGACTCTGTAAGCTTTCAACTTTAATCTAATGTTTCCTGCATGATCACTAATATCCTGACTGTGCGCTGAATTGCTTCTTGTCGTATTCTTCGAGGTGCACACCTTTTGCTTGCTCTCACAACTGATAATGTCTGCGTCGTGACTTACCGCATAATCCGCATGTATATCCGGATATATCTTTATCACATGGCTGTCACAATCTTGATTTCTGAGAGGCTCTGTTTCCGTGTCGGCTCTCTCGTCCGATGCATCGCTGACTTTCATGTTTGTTCTGTTTGGATTTGCATTGCATTTATCTCGTATTCGTAATGCAGAACTAGATTGATTTTCCAACAAAATATCAGTGCATTGTATGTGCTTAAAACAAGATTCATCTGCAACGTTCTGTTCCGTGGTCGATTTATTATTTACTCTATCGGAAACAATATCGTTCTTTACATAAAACACATTGCTCACAAGAGCTGGCGTTTCTATTATTTGACATTTCGTCTCTTTGCATATATCGCAGTCGTCTTCGATGAATTTCTTATTGTCATCTTCAAAATACAAATCTTTACTCGATGATAACTCAACGTGATCTTTCGAATATGCGTCATTCTTCGTTCCTATCATTCTATCCGTATTCGGGCTCAATCTGTTGTCCTCTTCATCATCCATTTTATCGCAAATCTCATCTGACTTTTCTGAACTCACAGCCTCGCCGCTCAATGTTTTTGTACGACCATCCGAGTACGTGCTCAATTTGTTTTCCGAACAATTGCTCAATCTGTCATCGTGGAAATACACAGAGCTCGCATTCGATTCGAAATTACTTGCATTTATTATGGCTATTCGCGGTATAATCAGATCAGGCGGTATTCCATCGACGATATCCGGAGGACTCGAGTTCGAGGAAGATCGGTTCACAAAATTACTAAAGGAATGATAGCCTTGCTGACCCTTGTTCTGGACCCAAGCTTCTGTTAAAACGTGGGATCGTTGCCATGACACGTCACTGTTGCATCTGTTTTTTCTCACGCACCATTGATCATCGGTATCGGACCAGGAACGCAAATGGCACTCGCTGGGACTCCTTTTAATATCCGAGTGGTCTACTTCCAGATCCGCGTCTTCGTGCTTTTTATTTTGCACGATCAGCTCTAATCTGGATTTTAGTAAAGCCGGCGACACAGCTCGATCAATATGCCGCCTCGACGCATTCGTTTGAGTAGATGGTGGTATTGACGTTGCGTTGTCATTTCCAATATTGTTGTTGTCGATGTGATCTGTATATAGATCTGGGACCTCTCCGGAAGCCATTAGCGCATTCGGACTTGGACTGTCCATACTATCTGGCGTGTAGGGATCATGCTTAACAGGTATTGCGTGCAACAGATTAGACGAACGGTCAATAAAATCTGAGCGCGCGTTAGCGTAAGTAATACTATTACAATCAGGCAACATGGACAACAACTCCAGGTAACTGTTCGGCACTCGGAAGCAAAACTCAGGTGCAATTGGCAAATTGCAGCAGTCTATCATACCTGCGTCCGAGATGAGATTAGCCTTCAAGTAGACTGGCTGTAAATAGCAAAAAGAAAAAAGATAACAAACCCTTTATGTATCGTGCGTCACGGCGAGAAGATGATAAGACAGTATACGAAAGGTTTGTATTGTAGGATTCTATGGGAAAGATAAACAATCTCAAACTAATGTTTCGTCTTTATTCAAAGGAATAATGACGTGCCGTAGTAATGTACTTTTCAATCTGTTAACTTCGTCGATATGATATAGTTATCGAACGTACGCGTAGAACTTTAGAAAATCGAATCTTGAATAATATCATCTTGAATAATAATCATATAAATTTCAACTCTTGCAACCTTTTTCAAGTACAATAGTTATAATACTTTTTAGATATTTATAAATTTATATCTCTCTACAAATATTGTTTAAAATTAATCAATAATTAAATTTAATATGATGCATAATAATTAACAATGCAACCTATTTTACATATATATTAATATTTACTTTCTATAACGTATCAAAAATTAAATTGGCAACTATTAATTATTATTTTTATTTTTATTATTATTATTATTTTTATTATGTTATTGTATTGTAATAAATATTCTCATTGCATAACCGAAATATTTATGTATTGTGTATAATGTAATGAAATGTTGTTCAGCATTAGAAAAAAAATGCAGAAGGTCTTACAATGCGAATCAATAATTCGATTGAAAAAGTACAATTATTTTATGATAGTGAAGCTGATAATAATTATGAAAGAAAGAAAAGAAGAGCGAGAGAAGTATAAAATAATGTAAAAAATAAAATACTTCAGGACGCTACGTGTTTGTGTGGAGGTTCTACATTAAACAGGCCCCTATATGTTTATTGTCGAGATAACAGAATACTAACAGAATGAAAAAACGAGAGAGATGTAGGGGATTCGAGATAAGAACAGACAGACAGTTCATAGATAGGTACCTTAGTGCTTATAGATTCATTCGAAACTCCAGAAAAACAGGCTGCACCATAATAATTGAAAGAATGGATCATCAGAATAAGAACTAGGCAGTGTGTAAGTATATGTTTCCAGCATAAATATGCAAAAAATGTCGCAGTATTGTTTCATAAATGTAAATGAAAGATGCTGATTTAAAAGATCTTAATCTTACCTTGTGATCACCCATGCACGTGGTTGGCCCGATTATACCATATTCCACTGCCTCGGTATCATCTATCTGTACAAAGGAATGTAAATATCACTTTAAATTAATAAATTCACTTTTAGAATTGCTTTGTATCGATCATGATCGTATAAATTCCACGGTAACACGTACATCTTGGACTAGCGTTTTCGCAGTGGGGCTCAATAAAACCCGATCGCACCAAGCCGGCACTCTTGTTTGCATATAATTTATAGGTTCATTAATATCCTCTTGAAATGGATAACTTGGCACAAAATTGATTGGAAACTCGAATAATCTTCCCTCAAAGTCTTCCAGTTCTTTATCATATTCGCGTAACTGCATACATATTAATAATTTTGTTACTGGCATTCTAATCTATTGATCGAATATGCATATATACATATTTATTTAAATGAGATAATATAACTTACCCATTCACCGCCATTCTTCATGAATACATTTTGATGTTCGTAGTGAGAAAATTCCTTTTTCCCTAACGTTAATATGAGATCATCGTCTCTATTGTGAAATTGCAACTTCGAAATATTTCCCTTATTTGATAACCTCCTTTCTTGAGTATCTTCTGTCAGTTTCTATTAAAGATAAATTAAAGTGCTGTAATACATTGGATTTTAATATAATTGCTTCATTAATTTATAATAATATATAATATACAAAGTAAAATACGATTGTATTATTTTAATATTATTTTTAATAATATTTAAGAAAGATTTACTTGAAAAAGATTTATAATTTCTGATAAAATGGTTTCTTTTGATAAAATTTCTTTCTTGCTTTTTAATAAAATCTAATTGTGATCGTTGATGAGTCTCACCTTAATCACACTTGCGGTGTCTGTCCTAAAATTAAAGTCACCAAATAAAAAATACGGCACATTCGGGTACTTGTCATTATGAAATTTATCTAACGTGTGCTCGAGCGCTCTTCTGCGTGTTTTACTGTATACCGACGGAAACTGCAAGAAAATTATTAAATTCAATTTTTTAAGAAAAAGAAATCGACGTATAAAAATATACAACGTATACAAGATATAAAAATTCCTACCATCTCCATAGCAATAAAGTTGCTCGCGTCATGAAATAAATGTATGTTTATGAGATCAAAAACTGTTCCACTAATACTCCATCGGGTACGCAGAAAACCTTTTCTGGACCATTTGCATTCTGGGAAGAATTCTTGAGGGAACTTTGCTTTCTCTTTGGTAGTAACTGCTTCTATGTTGCCCGAATGGACTTCTTTTCCGTTTACGGGTATAAAAGTGCACTCTAAAATTGCACGTAGACGATTAGAAAAAGTTTGTTACTTACGTTCATTGAAAGCTATCTAAACTAGAGTTAAGGTAGCTTTCAATGGTTGCAACGTACCGTTAAAATCCCACAATAAAACGTCGCTTAAGGATTCGTGCACGAAGTAGAAATTTCCTAGAGCCTACAAAGGGATTCTCGATAAGAATATTGCTTGGTAAAGAAATTGAGTATTTACAAAATTAATCTTATAACTCACTGTAAAATGTTCAGCGGATGAATAATCCTCGTCAAGGAATACCCTAATTTTGTCAAACAACCTTAACTCCTCTGACGACATAAGTAATCTGTAAATAACATTTCAGAGTCGCGTTAAGTTGTAGTAGAATAATTCAACGCGTATAAAACTCCAGATGAAAATCTCTTATAAATATATTTTTCAAGCAATTCTTTTTTATGTGTAATATATGCATCTCCTGTCAATATCATACAATCAGCTTATCTTTTGAAGTGACTCACTCAACTATACCGTCACGCGTGACTCGTCTATTTTTATCCCTTTCTGCCAGTTATGCGTTAAATCATATTCAATATCGTGTATGTCGAAAGAGAAAGCTATTTGTTTCGATGTATTTATAAAAGATTTAGACGATAATGTCAATAGTGTATAATGATAAAGATCAAAAGTTAAAATGCTATAAATATATGACTAATAGTGAAATATTTTAGAAAAACATGTTTATCATGTAAATGTACAGGCTTTTATCTTAATAATTTAATTACGGTCTAATATTATAGTACTTAGAAATCTTCTAAGCAGCTCCAATAATAAGATTATAGCATGATATTCTTACAAAAGTTCTATTCTACATACACGTATTGTCATGTATGAAAATTTCTTGCATTTTCTCATCATAAGCAATAACGCTAACTAAAATAACTAACGATAATAAGTGCCTCTGCTGAATTTCCCAAAAGAGCAATGTCGCAGAAAAAATGGCCTTTCTACACGAGTAGAATCTAAATGGAAATGTGACATTTACCTAACAAAGTCCTCCACGTGCCTCATACTTTGCTCGTAATTCTTTCCACCTACTTCTTGGCAGTGCAGCGCTATAAATTTCGGATCCAGCTTCGATATGGTCTGAAAAAGCAAGATGCTCGTAAAAACAAAACCGCGGTCGACCGTGTCGTTTCCGCCCCGCGAGTGACGAAAATGCGGGTTAAAAAAGGGGGATGATGATGGTACTTACCGATAAAAACTCTTCCGTCCATATCTTCAGCATGACACTAGGCTGCAAGGAGAAACGCTCAATCAATGAATCCTTCATACTTGATGCACTTTAAAGAAAAGTTTAATGAGATGTTCGAGGGCACGCAGATATATTAATAGATCGTTAACGTCACGCGCAAGGATATCGGGATGTAACTCCTCCTCTGCACCCCCCCCCCGCACTCCTCGCACTCCCCGCATCCCTACGATGACAAAAAAGCGCCGGGAGTTCTTTCCATCGCGTTTTGCGCAAATGACGATACGATAAATCGATCGCGGCAATAGAAAAAGAGAGAGAATAGCGAGAGAGAAAAGCATCTCCCTCTTCCCCTTCCCCTCCCCTCTCTCTCTCTCTCTCCCTCTCTCTCTCGCGTGCGCGAATTCGATAAACCGACACGCGTCCCCACATCCCGCTATCACGCGAGAAAATTGGCGCTACGATGGAAATATCAACAAACGTCAGCGTGCGCACGCGAGAGCCGATATCGGGCACGCGTGTTTTCTCAATCCTTCCATCCGCGATGTCAGCGTCCAGAGATTACCGGAATCGACTGTCGTTATTTCATTCTCGTTGCTGAACGTAATCGCGCTCGTCGGAATTATATTTTCGAATTATTAATATAGACTTTATCGGGAAATCGATAGCATCACGAAGAGAATTTGCTATAATCTGAATAAAATTCAAATTTTACAACTTTACAAATTTTATTACGCATTTGCTGATAAGTTTGGTACGATTTGACATCTTTTGATATATTTTTACGATAACAATAGGAATTTTTGAAATGTATAAAAAATTTTTTATAAACTCTATATAATAAGAATCACGAAATGAAAACTTTTAGAAATAATTGTACTAAATATTTTTTTAAAATTACCTTTCGATTTTGATTTTTTTATTTTAATTATTGATCATAAAATTTGGAGCATATTTATTAAAATATTAATACACTGTGAAAAACTTTTGATGTTATTTCTTTTCACTAAACTTATAACTTTGTTTTTCTGTCTACATATTTCAGAAGATCTTTATTAGTTTCTTCTTTGTCTTTCATCTAATACGCAACAGACATATGATGAAAGTAACCAATGATTGGCGGATATTATCATATAATGAAATAAAAATTATCTTGTTGCATAATATAATTGTTTTAAGTATATAAATTAAAAATATGCCATGTTATAAAATTTATTTTATATTTTATTTTATTCATCCGTTAATATATTTATTCTAATTAAAATGAAATTATTAATTGCTTAATATATTATAAAATCATTAAAATTTCATTGGACATTTTAATTAAATTTATCCAAAAATCAAAATATATCTTATGTTTTATTGCAATAGATGTTAAATCAGAGAAAATTTATAATATAAAATTACAAAATGTGATATAAAATTCTTTGAAATATTATGTTGTTCCATGACTATCATTACTTTTAGAGAAAATTTTAGGAGAAAATTCTTTCCGTGTGCAGAATGTGAAGTCCCCCCAAGAAGCCGAGGAATCGATTTCTCAATTCAATAATCGATTTTCATTGACTCAACTCTTCGCTTGTATACTCTCGAGTACATGCTTGTATACTTCGTCGCGAATAGATTCTATTTGGGAAAAATAAGAATGTTTCGTACGACGTTTTATCCTAGAATCTAACATTACGAAGGAAGACAAAGAAAAACTTGTAAACATATTTTTCGCAACTTTTTCGAATTGCGTAATCCCACTGACAAGTCGTTTCGTGGTATTGCATTACGCGATCGTTGATTTCACGCGTGAGGAATTATCGTAAATCTTTACACGTATTCGTGTCGTGACGCTTGTTGAACACGTGACAATATCAACAACAAGAAGCAAAAGATGCGAAGGGACCAAAGGGCAAATTGACTTTTTAAAAGCAAGAGATTGTCGAAGAGCCTGGAAATTTTCAACAAGAAACGGACGTGACTTTTCTGAGCGATTTTATAATGCATATCGCGCGATTTTCGACAGGCAATTACGTCAAGAGTGACATCGGATCTCCAAAGTTCTAAATGTCGAGAGCATCAAGGTTGCATTCCGAGATGTGCGTGCGAATCCCGACGGCGAGAGTTCGCCAGATTTCGCAGGTCGTATCGGGAGCTAACGAACCACGCATTTCGTGAGAACGCGTGTCGAAACGCGCGTAATTAAAATTCGCGGAAAAGGAAGGGGAAAGGAGAAAGACGAGAATTTTTTTGGGAGGTCAGATAGCGAACGCGGGGAGGAGCGTTCGAGCGCGCGGACCGGACCTTTAAATTTCGTCGCGCGGACCGACTTTCTCGTTGCGCGACCGGGCGGGTTGCCTAAAACGAACGACCGAGAACCGATCGCGGTCGGCACGTGTGCGACCGCAGACTCCTCCCTCCGCCGTGCGCGCGTATAAACGTATGTACGAAAAAGAAAAAGAAAGAAAAAAAAAATCATACCCAGTGCCGCGGTATTCGTATATGGGGTATTAAAGCGACCGGGAGGAGAGCGGCGGCGACGCGACGGCAAGTAGGTCGTGTGTGTCGCGTGGATAAATAATCACGCACGAAATCGACGAACGCGAAATCGATCGATCGGCGCTCTCGGCCGGCCGCGCCTCGCCGGTTACGGGTATTACGAGAAACGGGCTCGGGGGGGGGGGGGAAAGCGGGGGAAAGAGAAGGAGGAATGGGCAACGCGAAACGGGCGGAGGAGACGATTGACTGTCCGAGTATAACGTACGTACCTCTTCGAAGATGCTGCCGACATTCGCGGTGATGAGGAGAACCGGGACGCTGTTGCCCGCCATTCTCGCGATCGGACGGTGGTGCCTCTGCCTCCGGAGCTCGGTTCCCGAGTCTCTTGCCTCTCGTCCCGAGGGCGCGATTGTCGGCACCGCGACGACTGTTGTCGGATGACGACTCCGGTGCGCGGAGTCACGGCCTGTCGACACTCGAATCGCACCGCACTACACCGCACTGTTACTGACGACGACGATGATGATGATGATGATGATAATGATGATGATGATAACGACGACGACGACGAATGGACACTGGCAGCACTCGCGGCCGCGCGACGATCGGCGGCGGCCGCGCACGTCGTTCGCACACTACTAACTCGGCCTCGCGATCGGTCGTCTACGCACCTATCTCACTCTCTCTTTCTCTGTCTGTCGAACTGTCTCCTCGCTACGTCACTATTCCTCCGTTTTTTCCATGCGCGCTCGGTTTTCTCTCTCTCGCCGGCCCTCTTCTTCGATCTTCACCGTCGCCGAGCCTCTTCTTCTCGCGCCTTTCGGGGAAAGCGAAGCGCCGCGTAAGAGATAAACACAGATATCGCGCACGCCGTGGCGATGAGGACGAGAACGAGGAGCAGAGTCATCCCCCGCGTCGAGAGGAAGCCGCTCTCGCGCACCGTGCGACCTCAACGCTGTCGCGCCGCGAGTATGTCGCACGCATCGTCGGATCGCCGGGCAGGAGAGGAAGAGTTATGCGACACGCGCGGAGAGGAGGCCTCCGGTGCCTTCTTTCCCTGCGTCGTGCGCGCGTTGCGTTACCTACGTTACGTTGCGTCGCGCCGCGTCGCGTCGCGTCGCTGTTGCGTTGGCGCACGAGAGAGAAAAGTCGTGCGCGCGGTAAATATATCCCTCTATCGGCCACGACGAGGCCACGCCTACCGCGGACGTCAATAGGCAGTGCCGTGCCTATCACGCGTGTCGGTGGCGGACGTGCGTGCCGGCGACACGCGTATACGAGATGACTCGGGAGCGCCCGGGGATCCCCGTCGTCGAATCTCGATTGGGTGACCGCCGATCGAGAATCGATGGGAGAATCGACGATTTTTCTTTTACGACCAACGAGTTAATGAGTAAAAAGAGACCGATGACATTAAGCTGATCGCTGCCAGACAAAAAAATCCAGCGCCTGAATAATCGAGGTTCGCAGACAAAGAAGCTGCTCGAGCGTCTATCTCTTATTGGCAAATAAGTTTCTAATTCAATTTAAAGACTCGATACACACGGGAATAACAAAGTTGAAAGAGTAATTTATTACTCTGCTGATAATAATAATTTGCTCCAGTTTCACGCGGATCGTTATCCGAGTGAATAAATATTGCAAAAATAGCTGAATAGAAAAGAAAGAAGGAGAAAGGATGTATGTAATTATACAGGAGAAAAATTCAAACTAATCGAAAAAGCTCGTTTGAGAAAAGAAAAGCCCGAGTCATCTGTGTGCGACTTGGAAAATAAAAAGCGATCGTGTCATTGATTCCTCGCGACATATGTCGTGTCGCGACGGTGATATCAGTAATCGACAAATATCAACTGGACCAGTAGATCGGTTACTTTCCAGCATCAGCTCCGATCTACTGGTCCATTGATATTTGTCGATTACTGATGTGCACCGTTACCTGTTTCTGGCATGGACAGAGGATGACAGAGCGAAGCTTTTACACGCGAACGGTCGGCGTTATCGGTAAACAGCCAATTGTTTCTCGCTCAATGTCGCATCCGCTTCTAGGAAAATTCCCGACCGGAAATTCGGAAATCGCGTGTGAACGCGTGATTATTCACGGGTAAATTTCGTATTTGTGGTCGTATATGTCGATCCGAGAGATTTTCTTCCTACTGAATCTTGACTGACGATTTCTATCTATAATGGAAATTCCAGAAATTTTTCAGTCTCATATATGTGATAACGCATTATAATACGTTTTGCATTGCGTCTGTGAGTAAAATTGAAATTGAAACGATAAAGAAATGATTCTTTTTTCAAAGAACACCCCATTGCGATAAATTTAAATAGACATAATTTTGTTTTCGCCAAAAGAATATTTCTTTTTTATGAGAAAATATAAAACATAATCATAAGAAATAGATATGTTTTAAAATAGGATTTTACTGACGCATTTTTCTTTCAGTTCAATTTTTTTCCAATGTTTTCTGCTCACTTTTTTCTGCTCACTGAAACGTAGACAAATGAGTAAAAAATTTTTTCATAATTTTTTATTAGACATTTTTCTAGTGCAGAAAAATGGAAATTTTATATAAATTAAATATATAGTTTTCAATATATAGGATACAAACTTATATTTTCTGTAAATTAAAAAAATTAAAAAAATATAAGTTCAATCAATTACTAATGAAGTTTATAAAATTTATAAAATGAAATAAAAGTTTTAACACGCATTATTTTCAAATCGTAATTTTAAGTTTTTTATTTTTTATTTTTTTCGAGTTTAAATTAACATATACTTTTTATATATGAGACTATAATATTTTACTTTCTATGCAAATCATTAATGCCATTTCATAAAAATCCAAAAGAACAGTATCCTTCTGAATTCGATCACATATTGGCTTTTTTACAATCTTTTATAATTTGAATTTGTAAAGAATACATAACATAACATTTAATTGACAATTATAGCTTAATTGACTTTTGTCTTAATAGTTAGTCGGCATCACGTTTTTCGACTAGCGTAAAAATTTATCTAGCATTAGCAGGATATTCTGATAATGAGTGAGACGGAAGTTTTAGTAAAAGTGTGTCATCGTAATATGTGAAAGGCGATAATCATAGTTGCGTCAATGAAAGCGATTACGTTTATTAGGAACTTGATTGGTCGTATCAACGTCATTATCATCTGCGCGTGAATATTATTGCGAGATAAATCGCTCGCAATTCTTTATATGCGAAAAAAAAACAAATAACTACAGAGTCATAAATTTAAGATTTATTATAGTTTGGATAACGATAAAAATAGGAGCAAACAACTGTTACAGCATTTGTTTCTGAGAAGTATAAAAATATTGTTGCATTAAGAAACGAGGTCTGATGCAAGCCTGTTACTTATCTTTTTGTTTTTAAACATGATTCTTAATATCGCTAGAACGTTCACAACTGCGATTGAAAATTGTTTAAACATTCAATTCTTGATGAAACAAGAAAGAAGAAATTAAACGCTATCATTTAATAAATTTAATGCATTTTTAATTTCTTGTCTGAATCCTTTTCCAAATGAAACATATCTTTTTAATTTTACGCAATCCATTTATATATTTTATAGAAATTATTTTATCACATATACATTAGTGCGTGATGAGCAGAACATCTGCGATTCGATCGAATAAATATTTATATTTTTATTTGAAATCCAATATTTCGGCTATTTAATAAATATTAATATATTATATATATCATACTGCATGTCCAGAATATTTAATTATGCCCCAAAATTTAAAGATTTTAAGAGATAATTTCGTTGAAATGAGATACTCTACGGTCCTGAGGACGATATGTGTGTGTAATCGGAAGCTCCAGCTGCGCATGTGAACGAAGAGCCGCGCGGACGCCTGTGATCCGTCTCGCATCTTTTTTTCTTGGTCGACGCGTCGTCGATCCGGTCGTAATATTTTTCCATTCGTCGCGACATACGTATGTATGTCGTCGCCGAGACGCCTCATCGCCTGTCGTTATGTTACACGCGATTCTAAATGCTACACGCCGGCGGCTTTACGCGTGAGGCGAGGCGCGTGGAGCTCGGCCACGAGAGCGGGGCTTTGACCGTCGGCGGTTTTTGTTTCGTCTTACGTCTCGCATCGCATTGACCCGATCATTCGACCGGCGGTGTCGTCTGCTACCGGCCGCTGGCATTTGCCGCGGACGATCCACCTTCCGTGGGCGCGTAAACTTTCGGCATGTGTGCGTGCCGCGAATGTGTAGCGACGCGCTGGCGACGCACGCGCGACGAGGACGCGGGATCGACGGCGACGTCGACGACGAGGTGACATCGGGAGGTGGCGTCGATTTTCGGAGCCGCGAACGAATCGCGTCGACTCGAGTGCCTGTGGTGTGTGTCGTACACGAAGCGCGTCTTCGTCAATGCCGGATACGTCGGAGGTAAAGGATTTTCGGCCAACCGACCGGGGTCTGCGAACCTTCTTGCGCAACAATCGATACCGCCCCGCTCGATTTCCGTGACCCCGCCGGGAAGTTGAGCAGGTACGCCAGAAATATCGCGACGCCGAGCCGCGTTTTGCTCAGGGTTCTTTCTTGGATTTATCGCTCGCGGAGAGCTGCCGTGCACGCGGTGCCTCTGTCTCCCCGATTTCGTGGAGATACGTGGGTGCGATTTCCTGCTGTTGGATTGGGTCATTGTATCATTGTTATAGGAGAAGGTTAAATTTCGGAATCGTGGTATGTCTTTCGTTAATTATATTAATATTAAATGATAGCTCTTGTACTTAGGAGATGGAAATAATGCCTTCTTTCACGATCTTCTCTTGTGTGATGCATAAAGATCATCACAGTGAATCTAACTTTTTAATAAACTATCCTGTGTGCTTTAATATTGTTATTCAAGAAGTAAAAAGTAATAAGTTCAGAATTACCAGATTTTATACATTTGTATTTTACAATACATTTGTATGTATTGTAATCAACATACATAAGTCAAACACGATTGTTTGAAAGCGAATCTAAAACATGCTGTCTAAGTTTAGATTAAAACAAAAATTGGCCTAATAATTTTGTGAATGAAAAAGTTTATATTTTTTAAAAATGAAAACTATTTAAATAAGAACTTAAAAATCTATCTTATTTTACATATAAATTTTCAATTGTTTATATCCCTCTTTATTTCGAAAGAAAAGTATACTTATTTCGAAAAGAAAATTTATCTTTTGAAAAGTCACTCACAATCCCAGATTTTTCTCGATAACTTCTAACTTTCTTTCGAACTTATATTTCTCTCGAGACTTAAGAGTTAGAATGTATTGGCATTGCAGTACTCTAACAATGAGCAATGAGAGTAACCACTGTAAAAGAAAGAGATATCTGAGGAAAATTCCAATCGAGTTTGCCATCGTAATTCCTTGCAGGGAGATTGG